AATCAAATGGTTTTTCAAATTGATGGTGTTTCCACCGGATCCACCAGATTTTACATCGGTAGAGCAAATTTTACAAATACCACCAGTTGGATTTTTTATAAAAAAATGCCTCAAGAACCCCGATTACCCATAATCCAATGCAAATAATCGATGTGTGAGCAGTCGCTATTGAAAAGAGATGCTAAATAAAGTAGACTGTTATTGACTCACACATCGATTCTTTGTATTGCATTATGGGTAATCGAGGCTCATGACTTAAACTTATACATAATCTTAGGCTCGGCAGGGCGAACGCAGAACCGCAGGCAGAAGTTGTCAAGTAGCTTTGAAAGAAGAATCGTCTCACCGATTCTGAGCGTGAAGGATCGATTCATACAAGATCAAAATAGTAAAGAATCGATTCAAAAGATCGATTTTTTGGACCTTTTGGATCGATCTTGGCAGAATCGAATCGAGATCGCACATCCCTAGAGGAACGCATATTTCATGTTTCTGCATCAAAAATGTATTTTGTTCCAACAATGAAATTTGAAAAATCGACATTTATTCATGGTGAAATACCACATTGGAATGCCAAGTTCATAGAAATTTCATTTTTGGTAAATAATTATTATTTATAAGACAGCTTTCGAAAATAGGATAATGAATCATAAAATAATCTTACAGAATACCAAGATCAATTAAAAAATATCAATTAAATATTGAATCAAAATATAATTTTGCAGAATAACAACATTACAATGATTATATTTTTGCCAAATAAAAATATGGAACCTGGGAATCTGGAGTACTTGGATAAAAAGCTTAACTTTGCAGAATTTAAGTCAATTAGAAATGCATACACAAACAAATTTGAGCAAGATATGGAATTATATTTACCTAAGTTTACGAGTCAATGTCGTCAAAATATGACAGAATATTTTCATCAGGTAAGTATTGTGTAATCAGCAAAATCTATTTATAACTGATATGCAAGAGAGATTTTGGATAAATTCTAGAAATTAAAACTGATAACTGCTTGTAGATGGGCATAATTACGATGTTCGAAGATAATGCGGATTTTACACGTCTCTCAAAAATTCCTCTAAAAGTGAACAATATCGTTCAAACAATTTCCGTAACAATTAACGAAGAAAGTTTGGAAGTTCCGAATGGTAACCTATATGTATCATTTGAATAATAGAAAACTTTAGACGATTATTATGTGTATAAGCATTACAATAAAAAATTTTTAATTGCAGTTGACAGAAACGAAGTAAGAAAACTGGTAAGTCCACTGCAAGAGTTGGTCGTAGATCGTCCGTTTCATTATATAATCGAAATACATGGAGAGATAATATTTGTTGGAACCGTGCGAGTACCAGACTTTAGAACATTTATGAGAGATAAATTATAAATTCTATTATGTTCTTATATTTATTGACAGTTTATATCACACAATGTATGTACAGCTTAAATTTTTTTAAATTTTATCATATAATGTATATAAAATTCAAGCATTAATATATAAATAATATATTTTGGAAATGTGCTTTAGTCATTTTTTGATCAATTTTCTTATTACTTACAAGTAGCCGAATAAATTTGCACTTATGTGCGTTAGATGCAACAAAATGACTTCATATGCACGTATACAATCGAGCAACTATGTATTTATATTTATATAATGTAAAAAGAGACAGATAGCATACATGCACTTTTTATATTTGACGCGTTTTATATTGATTGATCTTCTCGCATAAATATATAATACATTATGAAAAATATTTCTCAAGATTTAAATGCTACATATATCTAGAAATTTATAAAAACAATTTGTGTATTATATATTATTTATTAGAACATTACAAGTGTGCGCTATGTGATTGATTTAGAATTATAGAAGAATTAAATTATAGTCCTATAGATTTTATTGAAGAAGGATCAGAGTTAGTTTCTGTGTTTAATATTGAGTATTTCAGCAGTGAATTTACATTAATTTTAATATAAAATATAATTTGAATACAAAACAATTATTTGTTTAGATTAGTGTTATATTATTATATACAAGTTTATTAATTTTATTTATTTATTTATTTTTGTTATTGATTAATATTATTAGTTTAGTAATAATTTTTATACAAGAAATGTTTTGGAAACAATGAAATTGATTTGTGGAATAAGAAATTGATTTGTGAAACGAAAGGAGATCTATTCTATATTGTAATTTTTCTACAATTTTAATCGTATTCCTTCGATTTCTAAAGAGTTTTAATCAATAGCAGCGTTAATTAATTCCTCCACAATCATATGATCGCTCGGTTGAAGGTATACTCTCTTTCTGTCAGGTTTCGAAAATGTCATACAAAAAATCGCGATATTTTTTAAATATTGGGGTTTTAACGCTTTGAGTGTTGAAATTTCTTTTTTATAACTCGCGTGTGATATTACCCAAAACAATAATCAGAAAGCTGATGTTAGATGCAATGTTAAAAACGAATATTGCACTATGAATGCGTAAAGTATGAGTTGTAAATTTTATTTAATTATTGCGTCATTTTTATTTCAATTAAATAATTAAAATCATTTTGACAAATAATCGTAACTTTGCGCGTCATTTTTATTTCAATTTTTGTGACAATTTCAATATTCATATAATGCATACTCAGGAAGATAATAAAAAATTCATTTTTTTTGTTGACAAATTTAAAAATAAAAGAGAGATGTAAAAAAACTCTTCGTCTTTTTCTAATAATACGAAAGTATCCGAAAGTAAAAGTTAGAAAGTTGTTAAACAATGACTTGAAATTTTGCAGACAAACTTCTCCTGATTTTTCTTTTAATGTGTGTACACGTATTCTAATAAATTTTATTTGATTTCAATTCTGTTATTAATTATATGAGTAAAAACGCGAAAAGTGTAGCTTTTTATTTCATTTTAATAATTGAATGTGTCTATATATGAGTATCATGTATATTGAGGTTATTAAGTTGTTTTTACGATCAATATATGAGAGATTTAATACAAAGAGACTATTTAATACAATATATTGAATTATAAAGTATAACATAATTATAAAATATTATTATTATTATTATTAGCGGATTTTGTACAACTGCAAGCTGTCTTCTCGTTCCTAACCATGCGTTTCCGTCCAATGCATGTTCTTTTTCGAGCCCTCGGATTGTTATGATATGTCGTCTTTCATCGTCCTAATCATAGGGATTTATCATACTTCTTCCTTTTTGTAGTGTCCATCGGAATATTTTCTGTGGCCACTTGGCCTTAGACATTCTTAAAAAATGATCAAACTACTGAAGCCTTTTTCCTCTATTCTTTCTCGATTACTGTCTCTTTTGAGACAGTGCTCCCATATTATTCAAAAATATTAATATTATATATAACTACATATATATAAAATATAAAATACTACATATAAAATATAACTACAGTATCTCACTTATTGTTAGCCTCTCTTTCTTTTCGACCTGACTGGCATGGATGACCCTATCAGTAACAACGTTACCGCCGGCATAGCTCTTACTTAGATTCATTAGAGTATTCAAATCTGCTTACTTGGCAAATGCCTTCGTTGCAAAATATTTTCTTCAAAGTTTATTGTTGCCATATATACATATAGTTACATATTATTAATAAATGTTAATTACTCATCAATGATATAAATAATATAAAATTAAACAAATCTTAGAAAGAGTAGCTCTTTTTAAAGCAGCGACAAGTATCTTCATAAAAGAAAATAAGTCACAAATGGAGTGCAGCAAATAAAGAATGATGGTTTGGCATGTTTCGTTTAAATCGATTATTTAGACTAATGATTTATAATGGTCACAAATACGCAAGCGCATTTATGTGTCGCTTAATGCAGATGTTAAGGTGCTTTTACATGGCAGCGTCAAGCGTCGAGCGTCGAGCGTTAAGCGTCTGCGCAGAATATTGTTGCCCAGAATTATATTTATTTCATTTATTTTATTATATAATAGATGTGTGTGTGTGTTATGATTATTATTAATCAAAGAGATATATTATAAAACGTTAGTAATATGGCAGTGTAAATTAAAATAAAATTAAAATACAAATGCAGCAAGAAATTTTTGATGGTTGAAATATTCAAATAAATAAGACACAAAAAGAGATTCACAAATGACAAAAGGACACAGTTTGAAAAAGGCGGCTCACTGACGTGCGTCCGGCTAAAAGTCGGCGCTGATTGACCAGACTTTATTCAATAATAACTCCTTTATTAAGCGTTATAGAAAAAAATGGTACAGGACTTTTCTGTTCAGTTTACTGTGCTCTACCTGCTCACGAGCGTTGTCAAAGGTGCTTTGGGACACCCTGTATAAGAAACAATTGTTATACACCACGTCAGTATTTAATCAAACAAGAGATATAGAAAATATATATGATCTGGCAAAACTTGGTGCATGAATAGTGACAAAACTAAAGATTTATAATTTAGTAATTTCCTGGTTGTCTAATTTAATTTTTTTGGACAATAATTATATATTGCACGTTTGTCTTTATTTGATTGCTTTTCTACTATATTATATTAAGAGGAACTACAGAGTATTGTCATAACATTTATTATTTGATACAACAAATGCATACGTGTCAGTTCAACGTCGTCATTGGTTTTCATAGAAAAAAGTGAGCATTTATTAACCAAATGTTTTATAATTTGATGAATGACATGTAAAATGCATCGTGATTGGTTGTAAAAAAAAATTTTGAAAAGTAGCGTTGGAAGAGATCTCATGATGTACTAAACAAATTTCAAAAAAATGATATACATAAGAAAACATCGATACGATTAGTACATTTACATTATCCAGAATATCGATAAAATCATTATTCATAGCTGAGCCAAGGATTACGCGAAAACTAATTAAGTACAAGTATTTACAAAAAAAAAAAAAAAAAAAAATTATTATGACAAAAACGGTATTATGTGTTTTACTAATAGTTAATTAATGTTAGTGAGAGCGGATACCATGTCAAAGTATCCGACTCGGACTTCATACAGATAAGAGACTGCTTTGTTAAATATAATTAAATGTTATTATAGCTAATAATTCATTTAAAAAACTAAAATTGTATATAATAATAAAATATATAGATTTTATAATAATAAAATAAAACCATATAACATAAAACACTAAAAGACTATGTGTGATGTTATGAAAAAAGGGATCTATAGATCTTGGAAATTTTTTTTTTAAATGGATGTTAAAATTAAACTTAATTAAAATGGCGTATTAAAACTTGATTGCATTATCTTTCTATCTCTCTCTCTTTGTTTTTTTAAAAATAAGTATTTTTAGCATCAATAAGATTTTTTCTGTTTATTCTTCGCTGTATTAATACATACATATGATGACACAAACTGATTTTTATGTGATTTTTATGCAATTAAAAATATTATTCAAAAATAACTAAAACCTTTTAATATGACTCAACTTTAGATACAGAATTAGACAAAACGACAATTTAAGATTTATTTGATATATTCTTCTTTTTTTTTGCAGGTTATCAAATCCTTTACTATCAAATATGATACAAGCAGCGATAGGTGTCAAAAGTATACATGTAACTACATTCCGTCTCAGAGACAAAATCTCTGTCAATGATATCAACATTTTTATTTTTTGTTTTATTTTTATTTTTTGTTTTATTTTTATTTTTTGGATAAAAATACAGCTTTCTTTTTTGAACGAGAATTGTGGTATACGAATTGACAATAATTATATAACGCTGCTTTACAAACATCTCATTGAGCATCCTTCGATATGCACTGTTATACCTACGGTTGTTGCACCATTCCCCATGTTTCCCCATGTATGCAGGTATGACAATTTATCTATCATGACTATCTAAGACAACACGATGAGTAATAAGACATTCCATACAGTACAGAACATTGCAACAACATTGCTACAATGTGTTGTATGGGTTTGTAATTATCATTGTACGATAATACGCACCATTTAAGTCGTAAATTGTGCAATTATAATACTTAAGCTGGAGATAATATATATATAATATCTTTATATTAAATTTTAAAAATTTCCGATATTTGTATATATAATTATTTATACGGGAGATTATTATTTTAATAATATTCTTTTTTTATATCCCTTTTAATAAATGCGTTTTCTTACGTATATTTAAAATTGTATTATTTAATTTTAACTGAAAGTTACAATAATACACAATGAATTACAAAAATTAAAATATTTGCAAAAATAAGATTTATTTTATTAATTGTGTTGTGATTATTCAATTTCATTAAATTGTACATACTTGTACGCGCAATAAATGTTTCCCAAATTTTTATTTTTTGGATGCAATATATCCTGGCTTTACTAGAGGGCCGAACAATTTTACCTATAAAATATGTGATTTTTGAAGATTCGATTTTAAAAACATTGAAAAAGAGACACGCGCATAAGCTGATGGATTGCCAATGGCTTGGGTTCTCAAAGGTTTTACAATGCACGGAGTAAGCAAAGTTTCAAATATGATTACTTGAGGAAGGAGGTGCAAGATTATAAACCTTATGAACCAGATCCTATAGCGGAGCGTTGGAGGTCAACTTTTCAAGACGAGATAACGAATTATACTCAAAGTCATTATAGACATGGCGCCTGCTCAGTTTTTGGAATAAGAATATTAAAAGAAATAATTTAAAAAAAGAGAAGAGAAGCGCATTTTGCGTGAAGTCTGGACATATGATGTGCATGGGAGCAAACTATAACAATACTAAATAGGATTCAATAAAATTAACGAATGCCAATTCTACATAAATAAAACTGTACTATATTATTGTGAGATAAAATAATATAACCACATATATATTATTTTTGAACATTATATACTAAAAATAAAATTAATGAATGCCAATTCTACATAAATAAAACTGTATTATCAACAATAATATATATGTTCAAAAATAATATATATGTGGTTATATTATTTATTTTTTAGAGATAAATAATAAACTTTTTTTGCGTACAAGTTGGGATTTTTTTATATACTTGGCGTATTTTATTTTACCTTAAAAAATATCGCAATTTATATCATTCTGAGAACAATAGCTGTCAATAGTTTATAATATTTATTATTCGATAGTTTATAACATCATTACATCAGAAATTAAAGCCATCAAAATTTTAGACTCATTGCAGACGGGTCTGTCTCACCGTCATGACAATCTGATGTGTTATTACAAAAACAAAAGTAAAGCCAACTTAAAAACATAACGATTGTTCAAATAATCAATTAGTGTATGCCCTAAATTCAATAACAAAAAAAACGGTATTAATTTACAGGATGACACGGAACTTCCTGACCGCTCTTATTTCCCAATTCTTAATAGATGTACTTAATTTTAATATCTCGCTTTTTTCGATACCTTGTATATCTTAAGCTTAATTTTATTTGCTGACTTAAGGTGTAGGATTTACGATATACATTACGATTATATATATATAT